AAAACTACCCTTCGATTCATTAATAGGGAATATTATACAATAATATAAAATATAAATTATTAAAATAAAAATATTATTTACAATAATGACGAGGATAATGTTTTAGACCAAAGAGTAATTATTTTATTTTAAAAATAAACTTTAGTTAAAATTAAAGTTACTCAAGTATAATATGTGAAAAATATTCTTTAGGCGAAAGTACTTAAATAATGTTAAATTGGAGATTTAAAAAAAAAGTGCCCTAATCATTGTTTCTTTAAAATAATTAAATTTTTTTCCAGAATTCAATTAAAATAATTCAGTATAAATAATAGGCAACTTTTATTGAATTTAAATTTAAAATTAAAAGTAAAAGCACGTGGTTATAACAACAGGAGCACGTTCCTATTGTAGCAAGTTATAACTGCCATTTCCGTTTTCCCGGCAAAACTCTTGCCATACAATGCATTCAGCATACGTGTTCCTGAGAATGCCAATAGAATGACAATACTGCCCTTCTCTCGTGCGTGTTCTCTTTCGAGGCTTCAACGAAGCAATGCCCATGAGCCGAACAGAAAACAAGGCAATGAGCCAATGACGTCGTGGCAGAACTCGAAAGTCAAAACTATCAACACGGATACGAGAAAAGTGCACTGCATGCATGCCGTTACCATTCACCAAAATTGAAGTACGCCGGCAATTCGAAGTAAGAGATGGTCTTCAAAGAGCCCAAGTGTAGAGAATATTTACTCTCTCACACAGCATTAAATTTTCTTTCCACTCGTTTTTTTTTAAGCTGTTTGAACGTGTTCTATCAAACAAGCTTAATAGCTAGCCATAAGAGACCGAGCGGTTCTCTATTTTATGCCAATCATCGCGATTAATTAGATATTTTAAGACATCTGAGAAATTAACAATTGAATCAGGGCTCCGAATTAGACTAACCTCAATTATCCAGTGGACCATGTGCGAGCGTTGCTGAAGAACGAGCTTGCCGTGATCGGTGGTGTTGGAACAGTACTTCTCTGCATAATTGCACAAAAGCAATTGCCCCCGTTCTCTTTTTCTGAGCATTTGGTAGCTTTCTTCAACCTCCGCATCTTCAAACCTCAAGAACTAAAATCAAATTTATCAAATTCCTGAGAACCCCGTGTCATAATGTAATGGAAATGAAATAAACAGTGCTTGTTTTTTTTTGGTTGAAAATGAAACGATGATTTGATTGATTATTATAAAAACAAAGACGAAAATATGCCACTATTGGAGCTGAAATCATGGCCTAATTAATATCTTAATTTCCTCTCCAGACCACAAATTTAAGCACCAATCAGCGCTTAAGAAATAAAACATACTTCCGGTTGATGTGAGGTATCATCCTCGGCGCATAAAGTAATTCCAGTATCCGGTGAAGTCAACCTCGAAAACTCATTGTTGTACTGAATAAACAAAGAAAATGTTGGCGAGGCAGTTCCGGTAACAGAGCCGTCTGAGAATTGACTTCCAGAATCCGTAAAGTAATCCGAGATTTCTAGCTCTGAGCTTTCAGGAAATATATCTGAGCATTGGTCAGGAAATTCTGTCTCCTGACTTAAAGAATACTCTGAGAGGTCCCCATACGAGAATTGCTCCGTGCAAGTTAGATCGGAATCGTCGACAATATGATTTGACCCCTGTTGTATGCTCGATTGCGCATTTAATTCGATTGTGTTCGCATTAGCGCGATGATTTCCAAAAACTTGAGCGAACTCTAATTCGGATGATCCGTGTTCCTTTCCTCTGAGCGTCTCCTCTCCATTTTTTCCAAACTTCTCGGGAACACGAGAACCTGCTGGAACGACATCGTTTCCCGTTATCTCCGATGAGAATTTAAGACTTGCGGTGCCGGCAGAGCATTGCTCTTCGCAAGTAGTCTCCGATTTCGTAAAAGCTTCAGAACCTTCATTTGTTTCGGTTTCTTTCGCATTCTTACTTTCTTTTCCACTCCTAAATTTCAACACCAGATTCCTCTGTTCACCAACGACTCCAGAATTCGAGTCCACACACGAAGACTCAGACACCTCCATATCACCATCCTCTTGCTTCTCAGATCTCCGAATCCTCCTGAGCTCGTTGCATCCATCCTTCGGAAGATCTACAACTTCGTTGATTATATCCTTCATCGAACCCGACCTTCCTTTACTCTCGAACTCAACCGATATTCTGGTCGAATTGCATGACTCTTCATCATTAAAGCGAAAGCAAGAGCTCGAATCCACTGAAATTACATTCCCCTCAGAAGCTTTGAATTTCTTCGAAGCAACCAAGACTGGAGAGATCTGGCATCTTCTCCGACGATGAAGCTTAGACCGGAGCTTCTTCCTGATGCACGGCCGGGGTTCCGGTTCCAGTTTCCGCTTCAATCTGCTCGATCTAACTGTCATTGCTGTTTGGCTTCCGAGAATTGCAGAGCAAATTAGCGGCGTTGAAGTGTGTGTTGAGAGAGAGAGAGAGAGAGAAGGAAAGAGAGAAGGACGGTTACAAGAGTTGAGGCTTGCTTCGGTGAAGCGTGGGGTACATGGCGGAGATATTTATATGGTATGGTGGTCCCACGTACGCATTTTCCGTGCTCTCATTCAGACATCAAGACCAGTTAATATTTATGGAAGACGACAATTAAATGTTCATTTCGTATGTGCTCTTTTCCACAGCCCAACTCATAAATAGTCTGAAGAGTAAAATTTATTTTCAAAGGCATCTGAATTTTTCTTTTTTGAAAATAAAAGCATTAGCAGTTAAAAGCTTGGCTGCTCTTTTTAATTATAAAATTGAAAGTGTTTAATTGTCACCCCAAAAAATGTTCACTTAAATGATCAACTAGTATTGTGACAACTAACACAGAGTCACAGACCATATGCTGGATAATTTGGTCTATGCCAAAATTTGGTTAAAAAATTTACACTAAAATGACTTCCTTGCATATGTACAATTGTGCGGAAATGAAAATGTAAATAAAAATAAGATAAAAGAATGGAATGAAATTATATGAATTTAATATTCAATAAAAATTTATGTTCCATGATTTTGACAAAAAATTATGTTCCGTGATTTGTAGCTCTCTCTTGCCAACCTGCTGCCCGCGTATACATTCCCGTCCCCAGATGCGTGCATGATTTGTAACTCTGTATAGCATGATTTGCTCTGCAAAGTAAAACTTCTATATTAAGTTGTACTCCTCTAGTCTTTAATATAAGACTTATTTAACTAATTCGATTAGATTAGAGAATTTAGGTAAGTTAGTTAATTACAAGAAATATGACACGTTTTTCCTAAAATACCATAATCATCTTTTTTAATACCCATTTTTTATCTTCTACTTGATTATGATTGAGAGAGTATCCATAGGGGTAATTTAGAAAAATTGATAAATATGAGAAATGGGTCTTACATTTAGGACCAAAACCAACTCAACAATTGGATCCTATATTAAGGACGGAGGAGTAATATACCAATATGCCACTACGTTTGTAAGCAAAACAGGGTTGGTAGTAGCATATACTACCTCCGGTCCTAATTATAAGAGTTAGTTAACTAATTTAAAAAGAGTAAGGAAAAGAATTAAGTTAGTTATTTATAACAAATAGGTGTTGTCTTTTTTAAAATATCTTTTTTAATCAAGTGTATTAGCCAAAACTACCATTGTTAGAAGGATTATTTTGAAAAAAAAAATATAAATATGATAGACAAAATGGATTGAGATTTTATATTTAGAATCAAAATAAAAGTTAAATAAGTTCTTATATTAAAGACAAGAGGTAGTACTCTTTATATCCCTTTCTCATAAAACTATATTAACTACTTTTTGTATCAACAATTAATTAAATTTTAGTTAAATATCAAAATTTTTTACACCTTTTCATAATCATTCTTAATTGAATTAAAGTTATGATTTAAGATGAGAACAAAAGGGGCTTTTTTATTGTTTTATTTTTTTTATTATTATGTGAAAGGGTTTTTTTTAACTACGCTAACCCCCGCACTTCTCCTTAAACTTTTTGGGGTGTGGTTCGTTCCACCATTTTTTAAAATATTTTTCAGGATCACCTTTGAAAAAAATTTTATTTTAATTTATCTCTCATTGTAAAATTTCAAAACAATATTGGCATTTTTTTAAAAAAAAATCAAAGATAACATTAACTATTAGAATAAATTAAAAACATCCTAATTATGTAAGCTAGAAAAATTCTGACATACCAATTGTGTCATTGTCTATATTTTTGTGCTAGACTTTTAAATGAAGGATAAAAACAACATGAATTCCCACTATTCTGTGCTAAAAGAGATCATTTACCACATACTTTTAGAAAAAGAATATAGGAAAGGTCAAGGTATCTAAACTTTCTCCTAATTTTTTAATTTAGTATCTATGTGTTTTTTTCTTAATTAAATCATTTAATTTATTGGTACTTTAAAGCTATTATTTATATTTCAAAAAATTATAAATTCAAAAATTAATTCTCACTAGAAGGCTAAATTATAACTTCCAAAATTCATAATTTATAAAATTCCAGCAATGGCTTTAATAACTCAGAAATAATTTTTAACATCTTTTTTTTTTGCTGCCAAAAATTTTTAACGTCTTTTAATATAATGATCAAGTCATATTATAGTAGTCTTCATTAAATATAATTTTTTTAACAATTTTTTTGTGTAACTTAAAGTATCCTCAAATTATTTTGGACTTGAGATTAATCTCTGTTGGGCTAATAAGTGTATTTCTCAGGATTTGAACTTATATATTTCTTTTTATGAGAATGAGACTACTTACTATCTTAATCAACAGGTTTCCAACAAATTAATAAATCATTCGAAAATATTTTTGAGATTTCTACTAGAAGACCTAGATCAACATTGGGCCGAAAATATAGAACTAAATTTGGGCCGGATGTGAAATGGACTAACCCCACTGGCTGGGGTTTTAAACTTTAAAAACAAAAAAAAAAAAAAGAAGAAGAAAAGGAGAGGGAGAGCCTCGGGGTTTAGGACCATAAAATCTGTCGAGCGTTTCCGCCTTAAGCGTTCGCAAAAGTAAAAAGCTTTCAAATTTGAGGTCTTCTTGTGCCAGTGAATTAAGGTATGTATCATCCTTTAGCTAGCTTCTTTGGTTTTTTATGTTTTGCCCCTTCTTTTTATCTCGCTTTCTCTGTTTGAATTTCTGCTTCTTCCTTTCGGGCGCGTTTAATTTGCATTTTGATTTGAATCTGGGTTTTGTGAACCGTGGATCTGTAAGCTCACGTCTGAGAGGAATAAATTCAGTAAACTTTCGTTCTTCTGATGTAAAATTCATGAAGAAAGCTTCCGGAGACCTGAACTGAAGAGACATAGTGGAAAGAACCGGTGCTTTTCCGAGTATTGCTTATTTTTCAGTCCTATAATTGAGGAATGCTTTTAAAGATTTCGAACGAACTTACTTTGAAAACCCTTTGTCTCTCTCATGCTAATTCCTGATTCAGTTCTTAGCCATGGATAATGCTTTTGGAGACTTGAAACGAAGTGACTTACTTGGCAAACCCGTTGTGGCTCTGATATACGCTTACGTTTCTCTGATTAATCCATGTTTTGGCTTGGTTTGAACTTTGAAGTGATGGATTTTTTTGCTTTGGTATCCGTATCTACGACCTAGAACCCTAACTTAGGGTTTTTAAAACATAACAGGCGAGAACAACCTACAATTGTACTTGACCTAAGTGAAAATTCTGTTCCAATTATTTCCTGAGGTACAGAAAATATCACTCATGTATTTGGGAATTTTAAAATCCTTGTGGATTTAAATCATCATGGGTTAGTAAAATACACTAGTATTATGTTTTACACGAAAGGAATTGCGGTCGTCCGCGAGATGTTGTTGTTGTTTTTTTTTTTAAATAGTCTCTACTGTTCTTTAACGATCCCATAGTAGTTCTATTTGGCCATTCGTTGGGACTTTTAGGTTTTGTAACCATTTTCATTTGTAAAACCGACTAAAATTGGCATTTGGGAACAAAAATGCCTCCATTGATTGCCTAAAAGAATTTCTTGTTGCTGAGTTGCTAATATTGGAAAATTTATGGAGAACTAGTGTGAGGGAGCTTCTTGTTCTTTCCCTTTATAGCCTACCCTTCTGAAATCCTCATATAAGCTTGAGATTTATTTGCTTAAATGTGATTAACTCTTTCTTATAAGGGAATATTATATCTGATTTAACTTATTTTCAATCTCATCTCCTTGCTCTGCTGCATATTCTCTCAAATTCTGTGTTAATTAAATGAACAAGCTCACCTCATCTTTTCCTTGTTACATGACTAGTCATGTTACTAACACGGAATGCAAACCAGTATGCGATATTTTTCAATTATGATTATCATGTGTTTATTTCAATTCTAGTATTTACTTCCTATTCTTCACAATTCATCCGTTCTGTTTTTATTTTCTTTGCCCTTTTTAATTTATTTAATTGATTTGTTCCCTTGTCAGGACAGTTCCTGCTATATTTGGAGAAGTTTGCGACTGAGCTTCACTTCCATCCAAAATGAGGTAGAATTTAGTTTCAATTGGTCGTTTTGATTAATATTATTTGACATTTTGAGATTTTTGGTCAATCACTAACATGTTTCTTCTTCCTTTATTTCTTGTCAGCCGGCCAATGGAGGAAGATGTAAGTTGTTGTCGTCGTCGATAATGAAGTCATTGTTGTTGTTATCATTATCACTGTCACTATCATTATCATTATCATCATTGTTATTATTTGTTTTAAGGTGTATGTATTGCTTGAAGTCTCTCTTGATGTTTGGCCGTGGTAAATGCTTGTTTTGCTTGTTCTTCATCTTCTTTATTCTAGATTAATAATTTCTTTTTTATCCAAAGCACTTTTGGGAGGTTGAAGTCTGAGGTGTTCAATTTTTGTTTGATGGAAACCAATTTCCTCTATCTCCTTTTTTTCCCTTCCCTTTTCTTTTAATTTCTTTTATCTTTTGCTTTGGAGTTGGTGGATGAGGCATTCTTGGGTGCTGGGTGGGTAAGGACGTTTTCATTATTTTGCAAGTTCTTTGATAATGCATAAGCATGTCTTTGAAGGACTCCTTAGTTGCTGCTCTGTTAACCTTTCTCTATAACTGCTGATCAGCTCACTCACTGCTAATTAAAGTGATTTTGTTTGCTGTTGACATCGGATATCAGATAATAGTAATTTAAACTGTGTTGATTTGAATGAAATAATGGCTCTAAAATTTTTCTTTTATGTCGCAATCAAACTGAAGGTCTGACGTCGTTCATATAACTCCAGACTTGTACATTTTATGGATTCTAGAAGGTTTGTTTCAATTTGTAATCATTCATGGTTTTTGCAGAGTGGTAAGAATGAAGAAGAGGAGTTTAACACTGGACCGTTATCTGTGCTAATGATGAGTGTTAAGAATAACACACAGGTACTGTTTGTTCTAACATAGCACTATGGTGTCCACGACAGGTTTGGATTGACGTGGTTTAAAATTTTATTGAATTATCTTGCTCGTGCAGGTGCTGATCAACTGTCGCAACAATAGAAAGCTTCTCGGTCGTGTTAGGGCTTTTGATAGGCACTGCAACATGGTTCTTGAAAATGTTCGGGAAATGTGGACTGAAGTATGTTTTCTCTCTGTCATGGGTTCCTTTTTTTCTCAACTCAGAACTGAGATCCCGACGTAGGGATGAATTGAAGCCTTCGAGCTTAGGAAAGAAGAGATAGAAGTTAGATAGATTAGAGATAGTGACTCAGAGCATATATTATCCTAGTGCTCATGGTGATGTTTTGCAATGGATTTATTTATCTTTCGCTTGTGCTCATAAATATCTAAAGACCTATTTGTTCCTTCCAGGTGCCAAAGACTGGTAAAGGAAAGAAGAAGGCCCAACCAGTTAACAAGGATAGGTTCATCAGCAAAATGTTCCTGCGAGGAGACTCTGTCATCATTGTTCTCAGGAACCCCAAATGAGCTCTGATCACTTGGTTGGTATTGACATTAAATTGTAGTGGTTTTTCTGTAATATTTGCCCCTTGACTGCTATTTTTGACCAAGACCCTTTTTGCAATCTTGACGAGTATTACAGTCTTGTTGACTAGCCGGATGCTCTTTAAATATGTTGAGATGTTGAGACATAGCTGGGACAGGGATGGTGTATTTTTTATGGCAATCCTTAAGAATCATACAAAAAAATGGTTGAAGATTTTCCTGAGTTTTTTTTTTTTTACATGTTCGTAGAGTTTGGACGGAAAGTGATGTATAAAAGAAATGTATAGGATTACTTTTTGTAAAAAGTGAAAAAGGCTCGTGTTTTTAACTTTTCTTAATTTAGACTATAAAAATTTTAGGACAACAAAATTCAGAGAATTTGTAATCAACATATTCTCAAGCCTCGGGTAGGGGAATTTGCTGGAAAATTAGACTGTAAGACTTCATTTGGAATGCTTGTGAAGTTCTCAGGGTTGGGTAAAGGAAATTTTATTTGAACTCCTCCCGAACTGCAGTGAAGTTAGGATTAGCGTTACTGAATCAAATGGACTGGTAAATTTTGTTTCATTTTCGTTAAAAAATCAACATTTTCGAATAGTAGAGTTAAAGAAATTTTGTCTGAATTCGTCATAGCGCGTTTAAAAACTAATAAAATCAGGCATGATTTGATTAAAATTCTGTAATTCCTGCACTCCCTGCATCTTGTGTTGTTATCGATATATTGGCATGATCGCACCAAGCAAGTGATACTAAACTGAAGCATTTTGTCTTTCATTTTCTCATTCAACCTCAATGTATCAAGAGTTAACAAAGAAATAGTCAAATAGGAGAAAATTTGAAAATCTAAAAGATAACAGATTTTTAAGAGATTAACTAGGGATACTAAATATTTATATTAATGCAAATATTCATAATTAATATTGGTGTTAATAAAATCAAAACATATTTTCAAGTCTAAAACTCATTCATAAGAAATATTAAAATCAAGAAATTAAACTTATATTTTCCTGAAAGCTAATCAGATACTTTTATTTTAATTTCGAGTGTGCAATAACCTAACAACTTCAAAATTAAGGTTTAATTCAGATTTAAATAGATAAATTATATTGCAATTCTTGATCTTGAAATAATAAACATTGACAAGTCATGAGTAAATTATATTAAAATTAATATCTCTTAAAAAAATATTTTGACTCAAGTTATCCCTCTTAATTACATGTATTAAAAAAGGCTCTCCATTAGTAGGATAGTTTTCAATGTAGAAAATTTAAAAAAAGAAAAAGAAAAAACAATACTCCTGCGGCCCTAAATATAAAGGTCTTATATTTAAGGCAGTAGGAGTACGCATTTTTTATAAACAACTAGTTTAACTAATATACAGATCATGTGTTTAAGAGCAAAGAGTAATTAAGCTATAGACACTACAAAATGACAATGAAAACGTAAGATTACGTGGCAAGTGGTATAGGAGACTACCCAAGCTTAAAAGTTGGATAGGAACAAGACTATGATTTCAAAAGTGATTTTACGATTTATGAAGTAAATATGTGAAGGAGTTTATCTCAATTTGCGAGAAAGTGTTTTTAAAAAGCACTTATAAACTCATCCAAACACCCCGTTAAAATATACGAGTTTGAACCTTAGTTGGAGCGAAAATTAATGCCAAGAAAGAGAAAGAGAAATGTTATTGCCAGTAAGTAGTACCACCTGATTTTGGCAGATAAACACTACGAGTGAAGGGATTACTGAGGAGAGACAAAGTTAAGACCCAGAACCTTGTTGTGGAATCAAGTGTACAATCGAACAACAACTAATGATTTTTGCTGGTAGTGTCCTACAAGTTAGACAGTAATTTTAGGATACAAATGGCTACATCAGTGTATAGAAAGAAGACTTCCTCAACATAGTTTCAGTGATGCAACTGGAGACAAAATGGCAAGTTTAGGCCTTCACTCACTTGATCCGCCTTTTCCATGATTATAGGACTTTATACTAGAAAATCTCTTTCAAAGATTGTCAGATTGAAAAATGATTAGCTCAAAAGAATAGCGACCTGTAAGAATCTCATCCTTGAAACATGTAAACTCATAGTAACATCTCAGCAATCTGGATTGCATTGAGTGCAGCTCCCTTGCGAATTTGATCGCCACAAACAAATATGTCCAACCTGTGTGAATGTATATATCCAACATTGATGTGAAATGTTAACACGAAGGTGAAGTGCTAATTGGTAGACTTTTTTTTAAAAAAAAAAAAAAAAAATTTGTCAAGAAAAAGAATTACCCTAGATTCCCATCTTGAGACAAGTCACGGCGAATCCTGCCAACAGCAACGTCATCTTTATTTGAAACTTCCAAAGGAGTAGGAAAATGATTTGATGCGCGGTCATCAATCACCACTACACCTGGAGCAGTCTTCAGAATATCTCTGGCAGTGTCCTGAAGAAAGGAAAACCAGATGAACTGAGATGGTTGAGGTCCCAATTACTCTCTTTTTTCTTTTTCTTTTTTTTTAATTTTTTAAATTTTTTTAAAATACAACAGGAAGCTGACGCTTGAAAAACACACAAAAGGAACTGTTAATAAGATTAAAGGGAAAAAAATATTAAACACAAGGACGATGAAAACCTTTCAATAATCAATCCGACAAATGACAATGAAGACAACAAACCCTTCTAAGGTGATTACACAGAAAATACATAACGCTTTGGCGAACCAACACCAAACTCTTTGGAGTAACACGAGGTAAGGACCAAGTTAACCCCCCTTTCTCTATGAGGTGAGGATTCGACCTCCCTACACATGCATAAAGTGTATGACTCTTTATATAGACTAGAGCCTTGTATTGAGTGAGTGAGAAATAACTAACTCAACTCAACTCGCTAACCAATATTCCAGCGGGAATTATAGAACATAAAAATAACCTAACTTGCATGGCATTTATCAGTAGGGCTGAGCAATGGGCGGGGTGGGCTAACCCGAAGGTTAGCCCATAGCCCGCCCATTTATTCATAAATGGGCATGGGTTAACCCATAACCCGGTAGTAGCCCATTTAACCCGTATTAAATGGGTTACGGGGCAGCCCGTTTGGGCTAACCGGGTTACGGGGTAACCCATTTATTTTTTTTAAATTTTTTTCAGTATAATTATTTTGTATATGTAATCTTATGAAGCTGTCAATAAATTTTGCATGCAAAATAGCAAATCAAATATGAAATAACATCAATCATATTCAATCACACAACCTCACTTAGATTCGCAAACAATCAAAGTCTGATAAAATCATAAAAGTAGTCACTAATCATAAAGTCTCATAAACTTTGAAAGTTCCAACTTTCACCTAAAGGATAAAATAAAAGCTTAGACAAGCATGAAGGTTTGATAAAAGATGAATGAAAAACAATATCATCAATTAAATGAAGAATAAAAATATTTTTAAAAAATTAAAACTTAAACGGGCGGGTATGGGCAGCCCAATACCTTGCCCATAGCCCAACCCGTTTAATGGGCTACCCAGCCCATTTAAGCCCGCCCGTTTATAATCTCTTAGTTGGGCTAATTGGGCGGGCTTAAATGGGCAAAAATTTCATGGGTCATGGGCGGGCTAGCGGGTAATGGGTTTGTTGCTCACCCCTATTTATCAGCCAAGAATCTACCATGCATCCCGGAGGTATTGCAGAGGCCAATTACTGATTTCAGAAATGCAGCTTGATTCACCTAAAATTCAGTATTTCACATTCCTATGCCCTCAGTGGCCACATCCAAAGACTCGATAACAGTACAACACATTGATTTCCTTGACTATGCATAACCTTGTTAGCTTCCAGCAACAGGGTGATAAACGATGATACAAGCTATTATTTGCTACCTATTGTTCTAGATAGCAACCAATGCAATATCTGCCTAGCCAAACCACTGTTCCAAGCAATACACAAAACTTAAACTCCTGTATCTGGCTGCAATAAAATGCCGCATAACATGATAAGAATTACCTCATCAAGGGGTTTCTCAAATTGAAGATTCACACTCTCAGCATGGGCTCGCATTACAGGAACTCGTATACATGTTGCAGTTATTTTCACATCCTTGTCATTCTGCAAAAGCAGAAAAAAATGATAGAATAAACTCTCCCTTAAATCTAAAGGTGAAACAATTATAGAGCCATCCCAATATGAAACAAACTGATAAACATGACAGAAAGGTTTAACTTACCCAAATTTTCCTTGTCTCCTTCACCATCTTCATTTCCTCTTCATTATATCCATTTGAGAGAACAGACGCATTATGGGAGAACAAATTAAAAGCATACTGCAAAAAGAAAAGGATAATATTATTAGGAAGTACTCCTCAAGCTTTGATAACAAGAGATACGCACAGAAAAGAGCAAACTTGTTATGTAACCTAAAACGGGGGTGAGAGAGAGAGAGAGAGAGAGCAAACCTGTTGATTAAATATTTTACAAGTTGGCGGCCTTCCTTCCAATACCTGAGTTCACGAAATTGAAGCACAATCAACTCAGTATGAAAGATAAGCAAATTTATTTCTCCTCAAAATATCTTAGCGGCACAACTTGAATCAAGATAACAAAACACTTTTTTTGTCAGTGGGATACACATATTAAACCTCACGAGTTTGCAGTTCCAGCTCTTCCATTGCAGCAGCACCAGCACCACTAGCAGCTTGGTATGTGCTAACAACCATACGCAATACCTGTGACGTTATGTCACAATTGAAAAATGAGTCAGTATGAAGACAATAGAAAGCGTACAACCGAAGATTTACACATAACCAAGAATGATGTTACTGATAGGACATTTAAACTCCCATTGAATTCTATTGACCACTAACAGTACCTGAAATACGCTAGAAAAAATTCAATGGCCGAAAAAGTTTTTTTTTTTTTTTAAAAATGACCGTAGTCAAACTACCAACGTACATGCCAATGCCACGTCCAACTATATTCTGAAAATGATATCCTTGATTATAATAAATATAGGAAAATATTAACAGTGAAATTTCAAAGCTTTCTGAGAAATCAAAACATCACCTTCTGTAAGACTGTAAGCACAGCAAATTAAGAACTCGGAAAATAATAACTAGAGTCACACAGTGAAACCATAAAAACCAATACTTCAGACTGCGTTAAATGAGCAACCCATATGCGTGATCCAATGTAAAAACAAGTCAGATGACAAATGATTTTGCAAGTGTGAATCAAAAAAGAA